GCCTGAAGCAGGGGCTAGATACCGTATTCACCTCATGTATTGTCTTCAACAAGGATGTAAACTAGATTATTGCACTGGTTGTGGTTTCATGGGCAGGCTTTGGTAATCAGGCACAACTGGGGAGGGGGACTGAAGGCCCATTTGACTGAGCGCCCCGCAAGGCTCGCGTAACACAGCGCAGACTCTGGCAAGTTGCTCTTCGTGCAAATAACAGCAATAGCCAGTTGGAAATGTGCACACTTACTTACAGAAGGTACTGGAGGCTGAGAGTTCCTCTGCAGGTCTGCCAACTCGCTCGCCTGGTAATACGCTCGCTAGCGCATTGGACAACGCCCATGCCTGGCGCATGCGCGCGGCTCACTGATGCTGAGTAAGCAGCAAATGGCGTTATTCAGGTCGACCATGGAAGAGCTCCATGATCTACCGTAGTGACTAGCGGCAAGAAAGAAACGATCGCTTGATGTCCGTGCACACCTCCGGCGAAATTGAAGACCTTCGGTGAAAAAATCAGTGCTTGAACTGGTACTGGTAAGGAGATAGCGGGTTTAAAGAGAAGAAGAAGAAGAAGAATATGATGACACAAAAATCGTGAAATCGCGTATGAGCGAATTCTCGCGTGGACGACTGAAGGTGCGTATGAGCTCTTGGGGGACATGTATAGGTAGATATGGGCCCGTAGACTATTGCTAGTATGCTTTGAAGGCCTAGGGAGTGATTCTCACCAAGTTTTTAGTCGTTTTGTACGCTGATCACGTGAGATTTCACCCGTGTCATCCCTATATAATGTAGTCTTGCTATTTTACCATAGCAACCTGTGGGCTGAATGGAAGACAGTGAAGCTGTCTTCTATAAAGATAAGATAGTCAGACACAAAGGCTGCTTGTGGTTGGCCACCATAGACATGGGAGAAATCAGCCGCTGTGTATATTGTTTCCAGTAGGTAGCCCAGTTACCCTGCCACTGGGGTCTGTAGCTACCAGGGTGGGCCTTCATAGCGAGAAACCTGCTGATCATGGTGTCTCAATGCCAAATTTTGTCCTGGCACCAGGATTTGTGGCTGATTTAGATGCTGTCAGTCAAAACCAACTCTAGTAACTTTTGGGCAAAACTATGAGTGACAGTCCTGTATAATTTTATTTGCACGTTTCTACTCGTTTTTCTCCCATTCTTCACTGGATCATAACAAATCACATAGCTATAGCATTGTCTGAAACCACATGTAGGCTATGAAGCGGCCTAATAAGTGATCGGCTTCAAGAGCTACCAGTGGGTAAGTAATTTCCTGAAACGGAAAAAAGCGCGTCCAGCGTTGCTCAATCATTTGATGCGTGTTAGAGCGAGCAAAAGACCGCGTGACTTTGCGCGATCAACTCGCTACTCCGCCGTGCGCCGAGCGAAAGTTTGCATGCACACTTATAGAGCTCTCCGTACGCACAAAATCTAGTACCTTGGCCTAGTAGCCAAACCTAAGCGTTTTACCTGGCTCTTTAACCCTCGGCGCGCATGCGCAGCGAGGGGGCCAGTAGTTGGGTCTGATCTGTGTGTCTGTCTGTCTGTTACTCTCAATCTCACTTCTCGAGTGTGTGTTCGTCTTACAAAGGATACGACCTACATTAACGGGCAATGAAGTTCAGAACTTTCGAACGGTTTTCTCTGAAAACGCTCCGTTGCAAAGCTAGAGCGCTTCCACCATTGTACGGCTAATGCGTAGTCGGCCATTTTTATCGTTGCGGAAACAGGCTTTAGCAACGATTGTGTGTATGTTTCAGATATTTTTTCAATGGCACAGCAAAAACGCTGGTGATTTATGGTGAATTTAGGTATATTATTCTGATTTTTCCTACCTTGTTTTCCAAACTCATTAGCATATTCATATTCCTCCTCAATACATTCTCTATGGGAAAGAAAAATTTGTGCGCGACTCACCCAGGAGCGAACGGGCCGTCTCCATTGTTTTTTTTGTTTTTAATAGTTTAGCACAGATGCAAGGAATACATGTAAGTAGCACTCAATTGCTAATACGAGACATTATTCCCATGAGAATAAAAATAAATAAGATGACGTTTGAACAGAGAAAAAGAGGACTCAGAACATAGAATACTATCAAGACTGTTCCACAGTCTAATAGTTGCAGGAACAAACGAGTGGTACATGGAATTAGTATGGGAGAAAGGATGGTGTAGAGAAAAAGGATGAGAATGATAGGAATGGGAGGTGCAATAAGAAAAAACATCAAAGTCAAAAAAACACAAGCTGTTCACAATTTTGTACAGGAGACAAAGTTTAGCCACCTCTCTTCGTTTCTCAAGAGACAGAACACCAGTTTTATCCAGCAAATCAATGTAACTGAGATCCCAACACTTTGTAACCATTCGCAGAGCAAATTTTTGGACCTTTTCTAAAAGTATTTTATCACTCTGTGAGGAAGGAGACCAAATTGCAGCAGCATATTCCATGTGAGGTCGAACCAGTGACTTGTAAAGCTGCAAGAGCATTGTGTCTGGAAGATGTTGGTAATCTGCCTCCTGCGGCACGCGCAGGCACGCGCAGGCGTATTAGAGCCATCCCGAAAAATAGGCGTGGCCAAGTTTTGAGCATTACGTTTTCACGTTGACCTTTGCCACCCGGTCACACCCGTTTTTTTCTTAGCGCAAAATTGATATACCGAAGCAGGCAAAGAAAGCCACTGCACATAATGGAGACGGACCGTTCGCTCCTGGGTGAGTCGCTGACGAGTTTTCTCTCCCATAGAGAATGTATTGAGGAGGAATATGAATATGCTAATGAATTTGGACAACAAGGTAGGAAAAATCCGAAAAATTAGCTAAATTCACCATAAATCACCAAGCGTTTTTGCTGTGCCATTGAAAAAAATATCTGAAACATACGCCCACGCACAATCGTTGCTAATCATCTTGAAATAAGGCACAAGAAGTCACAACGAAAGGCGTGTATCGACTCTCGCATGCTATCTCTACTACTGTAGCTAGCCCGTGTCAGACACTCTGCGAGCTACTAGCGGGAGACCACAGTAAACGCATACTAATAGCAGCCCAGCCCATCAATTAGCGTTACCGCGCATGCCCAGTTCGCCGAGGGTTTGCACTTGCAGCAATCTCAACAAGGCAGCGTTAGTTATTGCCGCTGAATTAAGCGCTGGGGGAGCTCACGCGCAGCAGTGGGCTTAAATTTTGAAGGAGTTCTATGAGACCCCTCACCCCCTGGCAGTAGACGCTATGGCGATCCTGACCGTCTTCTTTCTTTTGTTGATGTTACCTTTTGGAGTCGTCGGTTCCGTTAGACTTGTTAATGGTAACAGACCATGCGAAGGAAGAGTTGAAGTCTTCTATAGAGGCCAGTGGGGTACAGTGTGTGATGATAGCTGGGACATTGCTGATGCTAATGTGAGTTCACGATTGAATGGACTGCAGCGTTGTGTTATAGCCAGTTCACTCCCAGGTTGTATGTTTACAAGTTGGATGTGGCACAGCAGTTTCTGCCCCACAAAGAGCTCGGTATGGGCGGGGATCTGGGCCTATTTGGATGGATGAGGTTTATTGTAATGAGAGAAACACTCGTCTAGAAGAATGTCAGTTTGGAGGATGGGGTAGCCACGATTGTAGACATAGTGAAGATGCGAGTGCTATTTGTGAAGGTAAGGTTACATTCCAAAAAATTGCATTGTTCCAGTGTTGAACTATTATTTTAGACTTCCTGTGTCCTGCCCCAAGAGACATTGCTAATGGAAGTGTTTCATACACCGGAAATTCACTTGGGGACACAGCACATTACTCTTGTGATAATGGTTTTATCTTATTTGGACATAATGTAACAAGATGTCAAAAGAATTCCACATGGGAAAATCCCCCAACATGTCTTACATCCGGTAAATGTAGAGACATCCTTTTTAATCACACTTCAAAGGTGGCAAAATCTTTACACAGCAATATCATTTCAGAGTAACCAGTATACTGCTATTGAAGGGGTGGATGAGTCTGTTACTATCACAGTAGTGAGATATGGAGACAACAGCTCTGATCTTTGTGTTAGTATTTCAATTTCAGGAGGAAACGAAGGTGAGCCACATCATTGAAGAGTTGTAGCTAGCCCCCTTTTAAGAGGAAAACCCCTATCCAAGATACAGGCACAGCATCATCTAGTCTTGTGTTGCGGTACATGTAGCTATAGGTTGTACGATGGCGGCGCATGGTCTACACCAGGGGCCAGTTTGGATAGGGCACGCCCAAGTGGTCTACCAAAACTGAAGCCACAAGTGTGTAACCAGTAGACCACAAGCAAAGCCATCATACAATGTGTTTGTAAGATGACATCCAACGATAAGTCTCACTACGCTACTATACACTGTTTGGAATTCCATAGTGGTCATCATACAAAATAGTAAAGAGAGATTATTATCACACACTTATGAACACAAATATCTTGTAATGTTGGCTTTGTGTCTAGATTAACATCCCCCTTTTGCTAGGCTATGCAAACAATCCCCGATTATGTCCACTATAAACCATAGAAGATGATGTGGGCAATTGTATTGTCAGTCCCCTCATTAACAACAAAATATAATCTAGACTTTTTTGTCTCTAGCAATGCTCGATGTTCCATTAAACCTTTTTTTGGTTGCAAGTGAAATTCAATCTACTCTTACGGTTCCTGTTGGAGACGATGTTATCGTTGAAAATGATGAAACGACAACTATAGTGTTGTCAGTTAATAACACTGATGTGGGAATTATCAACAACACAGATGCAGTAATTACCATATTTGACAATGATGGTATGTGAAACCCATAAACCTGTAAGTCGCTAAGCTTTATACATAATGTCAGGTGCAATTGTTGGTTTGGAGAGAACTCACTACAATGCCTCAGAGGAGAATGGGACTGTTGAAGTGTGCGCCATTATAAGGAACCCACACATTGAATGTCCAGTTGAAAAAACTTTTATGATGAGCATTTCTTCTGCAGATGGAAGTGCAGGTAAGTAAATCAAGCTTGTTTGATTTTGTTAATACTCTTTGTTTCGTTGTGCAGTTGCACCAAGTGACTATGATACACTTTCGACGTCTTTAGTTTTTGATGCCTGTGAGACAAGAGCATGTACAGATGTAAGAATTATAAATGACAACTGGTCAGAAAATGCAGAGACCTTCGCGGTATCCCTGGAGAGAAACAGTGCCCAAGATGCATGGTTGAGTATTGATCCAGCCGAAGCTGAAGTTACCATACTCCTTAATGATGGTAGGGAGATATTTAGTACCAGAGTCTGTTTTTCTATTTCTTAGCCCTGTCTCTGGAGCAATTAAAATGATAATGTATTAAAAGTGGTATATAGGAAAGAAGGGGAGGACAGGGGATCAAGGCAGGTGAGGAAAGATAGCTATCCCTGCCAAGTATTTGTTAGCATCCATTTTGTGTTGATGTCACATGATGTGATGAGTTAGAACACTCCTGATCGTTAGACAGCTGTTAGCTACTAGTTGCATGCACTATGGTCTCTGGTGCGTTAAGGCCTGTCCGCGAGCAGCAAACCGGAAGCTGGACGGAATCACGTAACCACGCCCCCGTAGTAACGTTTCACGGAAAATATACGGAATAACGCCATGTACGGACGTCATTTTACGAATATGCGCATGCGCGGAACGCGGACGGGTAGTAAGTTTTTCACAACTGTTTTCGCTTAGGCGGAAGGGTTCCACTTAGTCTATAGCTACTTTTTGACGTTAAGAAAGACAAACGCAAAGTCCTCTGACTGTTTATCCAACGGGGAAGGTGAGCAACTTGACAGTTTTAGATGCAGGGCCCGTTTTTATCGTAAAACTGGGCGCGGTTTCGATATTTTAGTTCGTTATCGACGCGTTATTATTTTTTTTCATTTCCCCGTTGGATAAAGATTTACTTTAATATGTACTTGTTTCTCTGAGCTCAAGATGAATTCTTAATTCGAAGTGTAAGCAATCCGCCTAAACGCATATACGAATTACATGTAAACAAACAAACAAATAATGTGGGCGTGGTCACAATTTGTTAAGGGAGTTAAGACCTATGAGTTTTATCACATTACCAAGTTTGAAAGTAAAAGGTAATGTGACACTCTCAAAACAAACAAAAATCTGAAATTTTCCATGATTTTGATGCACCCAGGCCTTAATGCACTAGAGTAGTGTACACCCATTAATTTTATGGCTAATGTACCTAAACTGCACACTTGTTTTATTTGGGTCTTGCCCCAATGAAGTTAGCTAACTGTATTAGAACACTTTTAAAATGTAGCTGTGATGTTAAAACTCTAACCGTAAATTAGGATATTCAGCTGAGTTGACAGTGGAGATAGTGAGTGCAGCATCTCTAAAAGTATCGTGGCACAAAAATGACACTGATACCATTGCATCCACCGTGAAATATGAATGTGCTACACCTCAAACTGATCATATTGCATCGACAATTGAACGGACGCTGCCATATCCTGACACATCCACCTACTTCGACATTTCTTTTTGCTACTATGACCCCGAGAAGAAGTACAAACACACAGCCACACTGCTCCAGACTAGCACAACTCCCAGCAAAGAACCAACCCTGACTTCAAACAGTTTTTATATAGGTTTGTTTAGTGCACTCATCCTTATAAATACCGTTCAATGCTGACTTTTTCACATCAGATTACAAGTACTTCCAGATTCAGTTTGGTCCAATGAAGTTATGTCTTGATTGGAAGGTATAATAATTTTTTACACAAGCATTTTTCACTTTCTATTTTGCATATATAATAGGTAGGAGAACAACAGCACATTGAGTCAAAGGTAAAGCAAAAAGTCACTGACATCATTCTTGAGCACTGTTCAGACTGCACCTGGTTTCTCAGAGTCATTCATTGGACAAGGGTATTTTCTGTGCCACGATAACCCAAACACACCCACCTATCGCTCCTACATCACCACTCCTTATCCAGTGAGCACCAATACCAATTCTAGTGATCTACTAGCCATCATTGAGAACTGGATATCTTCAGCTCCAATAATGCTCTTTGATTTGCTTCTGGTGAAGATCAATCCCAGATGTCCTATTGGCATATCAAGTTTGAACGAACCCGAGTGCTTTTGGGAGTAAACTTTCTCTTTAGAACACTTGAACAATGATAATTTTGTTATAGCGTTAATGAAAGTGTTCCTTCATCTAAATTTTAATACACTGCTGCCACAACTGCATTTTTGTGGAGAGACTGCATAAGTATGAGAACTTCAAGAGAGAGAGGGTCAACATTAGCAGTAACAATGCCCATGAACAGTAATTAGGCGGCAAGGGACAGATGTAATTGGTTAATGTCCTTTACAGTGTTAGAAGCAGAGGAGTGCACTGCTGATTGCAGCATGATCTAGAACTCATTAGAGCCTACGGCCAATGTTCTGTTGGATGTGAAAAATTTAAAAGGAGAAATGTTTTGCTGCCACTTGCACACCTTAGGCATATGTACAGCAAACGTTACATGTTAAATTTCAGTGACTTCTGCTCTCACCTCATGTGAACCTTAGTTAAAAAGAGGGAATGAAATATAAGGACAACCTCTCTCCTTCTATCGTATTTTTCTTCCAATGACGCAACACTAAGATGTATTTTAGTAGCCACAACAGACAGAAAATATATGAGTAAATACTATAATTATACTGTTCTGTGTACATACTAGTCATACTACTACAAGCCGAGGCAGTTTCCTTAGGAATCACTGAGAGCCATTTCATTGCTCCTAACAGGTGTCCTCCGCGTTGAAGGTGCATCGATTTATTAAATGGGGACATATCCTTCCCCCCTGGGATGATTGGCTGTGTCCGCAGTGCTCTTTGTGAGCTACCAAAAGTTTTGTTTGGTGAACTCAACCAACTCCTACCAATGGAAGTCATAATAGCCACGCCCCAAAATCTGTGTATGGACCCTGTGCTAGTGAGAGGTGCGTCGTTTTATCTTGTGTTTTTGTGATTCCGTGATTCACTACCACTGCACTGCATGTATTATTCCGCGCATGCTCACGCGCGTGTGGGTTCCCAGGCTATATAAAACGCTGACGTTGCACATGCATGCACTCGCAGTTCGCGTGCGGGCGCGTAGCAGCAGTTTTGAATCACGAGTGATGGCAGAAGGTTAGCAACCATAGTATGTCTCTCTCATTGTTAAACTATGCTGTTTTCTCAGGCGGCTTTGACGATAAACCACCGATAACCAAAGACGTATGTCGTGAATGTAAACATCAGCTACAGGATTTTGTTAATTTTGGCACGCTTCAGAAACAGTTCGAGAAACACGGCATCCCGTTATATAATTTTGATGATGTTAGAAGGGAGCTAAAGGACAACAATGATGAGATTGACTGCATGTTAGACTTTTTGACCAAGGTGGATAATGGCTTTCAGATATTTTATGACAGTCTCAGAAAGACGCAGCACTCATGCCCCAAACACAAGCTAGCAGCTGATATTTTGAAATATACAGGTAGGTTTACTCCCTCGTATTCACTTGCCTGTGCTGTTTTATACAGAGGGTCCCGGTTAATATCATACCCGCGGTGCATCCAAAAATCCGTATTGCCTGGGCTATTTGTAGTTGTTTACAGTAAACAATGTTGTTTACCAAGAAATAAGTATGACCAGTCTCTTCGGGTGACGGATATCTACATTCTTACAAAATTTCATTACTATAATTATTATGTTGTTTCGTTTTTGAGTTATGGGTGTTGAATCTGAAGAAGAAGAAGAAGAAGAAGATGAACAAAACTCCCTATCATAGCCCCATACATCTATGATGCTAGGTACCATGTCAATCCCTATATACTAAGTACTACCGTACTTAGTGATAAGTACTACCGTACTTAGTGATCTGGATAAACACATATCCTCAACAACTACTTTCATTTTAGAAGAGTCACAAATGCATAACATTCATTGAAGTGACATCTCAAAGTTCATGTTTGTGACTTATGAACTGACAACCAGAGTTTGGAGACAGCAAAAATCTTTCAGTAGAAATTCACTAATCACATGTCCAAGCTAAAAGTTGTTGGACACATAGTGTGTACAAGTAAATAAAAAATACTGGGGATTAAAAAAGAGTGCATATAGGGATCGTATAAAAAGAAAGGGAGACAAGATAGGGATTGTGTTTGTGGAAGCACAGAGATGCTAGCGAGGAGTTAGGACTCCCACAGGTCATTACAACAGCCCTATATCGTCGTACGGTGGGAGTGAAGGTTATGAAAGAGTATTGCTAAGTACTGTACTACTTAATAATGATTGTTGTGTACATTTCATCGATCTGTCATGCTACATTCCCATGGAGTGTATGCACATCAAGGTGCGAGCAGTTATGTGTACTGTCGTAATAATCTGCTGACCAAAACAATGTACATGCATAACATCATTACATGGAAAACATACGTATAATACGAGAAAACCAAATTCAAGTATGAGTTACTTGTCTCCACTCATTTTTATATACTACTACGTATTATCTTTGTGGAAGGGGGCAAGCCCCTATAAAAATTAATCGTCGTAATAATCTGCTGACCAAAACAATGTACTACGTATGTACTACGTATTATCTTTGTGGAAGGGGGCAAGCCCCTATAAAAATTAATCGTCGTAATAATCTGCTGACCAAAACAATGTACGTGCATAACATCATTACATGGAAAACATACGTATAATACGAGAAAACCAAATTCAAGCATGATTTACTTGTCTCCACTCATTTTTATATACTACTACGTATTATCTTTGTGGAAGGGGCAAGCCCCTATAAAAATTAATGAAAAGCACTAAAGTGCAAACCCTCGGCGAACTGCGCATGTGCGGTACCACTAATTGATGGGCTGGGCTTTTTATGCCTTTACTCGTGGTATCCCGCTAGTAGCTCGCGGAGAGTCTGGCACGGGCTAGCTACAGTAGTAAATAGCATGCGGGAGTCGATACATGCCCTTCGTTATGACTTGTTGTGCCTTCAAGACACACAGAGCGAACGGACGCGGTCGAGGTAAGCCTGTGCTAATTTACATATTGGCTTGTTCACTTGCTTTTCACGCCATAACTTTAAAACACAGTAGTTTTACGAAAATCGCCTTTTTTAAAATCAACCCAGTGTAGCACTGAACCCGATCATATCGTTATTTACCTGATTTCGTGCGCGCGGTGGCAGAAAACGTGGTAACAGACAGACAAACTGACAGACTGACAGACTGACTGACAGACACACTTACGGACCTTAACCCTCGCTGCGCATGCGCGCCGAGGGTTAATAATAGAGTAAAAATGCCTGTTGTCGTCATGGAAATGAAATGCATACCATCCATGTGTGCTGCTGTTAGCAAGTTTGAGGAGTGAAGAAGTAATTATAAAGAAAAGTGCCTGCGTCATGGAAACGATGTAATACACATGCGCACAAAGTTTCACCTCCATGCGTGGTACCGTTAGCGAGTTTCAGGAGTGAAGAAGTAATTGAAAAGTGCCTGAGGCTATTTGTTGTTGTAGTTCTCATGGAAACGATGTAATACACATGTGCACCAAGTTTCACCTCAATAGTTAGCAAGTTTGAGGAGTGAATAAGTAATTTTAAAGAAAAGTGCCTGAGGCTATTTGTTGTTGTGGTCGTCATGGAAAAGATGTAATACACATGCACACCAAGTTTCACCTCCATGCGTGCTATAGTTAGCAAGTTTGAGGAGTGAAGAAGTAATTTTAAAGAAAAGTGCTGAGGCTATTTGTTGTTGTGGTTGTCATGGAAACGATGTAATACACATGCGCACCAAGTTTCATCTCCATGCGTTGTACCGTTAGCGAGTTTGAGGAGTGAAGAAGTAATTTTAAAGAAAAGTGCCTGAGGCCTATTTGAACAATATGCAGTCGTCATGGAAACATGTAATCGTCATGGAAATGATATAATAGGGATACGTACCAAGTTTCATCTCTATGCGTGCCTTCATGCAGTTTGTTTAACTAAGCTAAGCCAGCTCAGCTGTTTACATAAGCTAAACGGGAGTTCAGCCCAAGGTTGCAATAATGACAATTGCGGGCAAAAACCAAAATTTTCTATGGTAATAGGCAGGATAAGACATTATCCGTATTCTATAAAACGGAGTAAAATGTATAGGAAAGCATAGGAAATGGTTTTGGATTTCAGGTTTGTATGATTATAAACGGGATATTCCATTAAACGGTTAAGTGGGACCCACTGTTCTTCTCTCTCTCCTCATTGTGCAGCAACATCCGAGGCTGATGAAACGCATTGCCAATTATCAATTTATTCAGAAAAGGTTTATATTTACAAAGGAAAAAAGTCCAAGTTTATTTGGGATGAGGCTGGTATCAGTCTATCACTCCCAGAAGCAAATTGTGAAAAGGATGTAAAGTTATCAGTTAAAATTGTAAATGACGACCTTCATCTACCCTCAGAGAACCAGGGTATGCCCTTAGTCAGTGCATTGTACAAGATAACTGCAAGTGATAAATTGCCGGCTCCGGCTACAGTAAGAATACAGCACTGTGCTGTCGTCGACAAAGAAAATACATTGATGTTCTTAATAGCCCACGGAAAGCCTCCTTACCACTTTACACCCCTGCTTGGAGGAAAGTTCCCCTTGAAAAAATGTTATGGAGAAATAGATTTGGATGAATTTAGCATTTTAATAATATTGCAAAACATTAGGCATTGGAACATGCGGTTTGCTGTTCATATAGTTTATTGCGGCGATGGTACTGCTGATTTTGTTGTGACAAAAAACATTCCACCACACATTACTGCTGTAAAAGAGGAATACCATAATGCAACCAAGTTTGATTCATGTGAAATGACATGCTCTTATTCAACTGATGCGATATCTCTTTCGGTACCAGATAATCCAACTAAGGGATGGAAAGTGGAATCAAGTTTTGAACCTCCAAAAATCCCCCTCACCCAAATCCATGAGTACCAACCGGGAAAGATAATCCCACGCATCAAACTCAATATGAAGTGGCTGGGACGGACACAGCCAAGAGAAGAGTCAGTGAAAATTGGAGTTGAAGGAGGAAATTTTAATTCATTCAGATTACTCTGCAATCCACAACCTCAACTACCACCACCACCAGCACCTTCCATTCCCTCCCAGAATGTTCTTTTTCGGTGTGACAAACCAACTCTCCCTCTACTTCAAAGGTTCCCCGAGCAATCAGGAGGTGTCATTAATATCATTCGAGAGATTGAAGGAAAGAAACACGACTTGGGCATACTTATACTCAATGATGAAAGTGGCAAAATTACAGCAAATATTGAGACCCAGTATAGACCTGACCAGACTCGAATAACAAAAGCTATTCTTCAGAGGTGGTTAGAGGGAACTGGGAGGACACCACAATCCTGGGCCACTCTTATTACTGTATTGAGAGAGGTGGATCTCAATGTTTTAGCAAAGCAAATCAAAGACAACTTAGTGCAGGAACAGGATCCAAATCATGGGTATCCACACGTAATATTTTGTCATGTGGCCACTTGTGCACATAGCCTATATAGTGCATTTTTGCCTATTACGTTAAATACTTACATTAATTAACCCATCATAATTATTATGTTTCTTCAGGGGTCCCTCTTCTATCCCAAGTGCCTCACCTAGTGGGAGAGGAAAGAGAAAGAGAAAAAGAAAGGCTGACTCAAGGAGCAAGCCTGCCACAAAGCAAAGAAAAAACTAGCCATAACTTCGATAAAACTCTGTATAGAGTAATCATAATTATGCAGTGTATTATTCTTTTTCTTGGTGTGACAAACAGAATAAAAGCCAACAATTTTGACCTAGACACTTGTCACGAATAACTTCCACCATGAATGTGATGAATAATGTCACAGAATGTTGCAGATGCTGGAGATCAAGAGGTTCAGACCCTCACCTTTCACCTTGCACCCACAGGTGGTAGTAGACTTTGTAGTAACTTACCTGACAACAACATGAACTATATGTGCCCATGATTTCCATGTGCCGTGGTGGCAGTATAAACATTTCGTCAGTGTATGTTTTAGTAAAATGCTTGAACAGACCATGAAGAGTATCAAAACTAGCCACACACTAACTCACTCTCTAGCAAGCAATGTCTAAATTACAGGAGACTTTGCTGTGTGCTGTTTGTTTAGGAGGAGGCTTGTGTTGTTAGGAATGTCTGCATGGAACCAGACTGGCCTAGCTGGGACTCTTCTTTGTAATGTTGTTTTCGGACGATACTTTAAATTATTTGCGTAGGAGACTATACAATATCTAGCGATGGTCATTTGTGTCGTATATAGCAGTGTCACTGTTTAGCTAACTCCCGAGGGAATAGCTAACAATCTCCGGCACGTTGTAGTTGCTATATTATATGAAGGGAGGACGGATAATATTACGGTATTGCACCGTGGACAAATGCCACAATCTCCGGCACGTTGTAGTTGCTATATTATACAAGTGGAAAAATCATTTCTTCAAAATGAAAGGGGGATATAGGGATGGCTTGAAGCACCAAAAAGGAACAAACAAGGGGTCATTACACGGCAAAGTTGCACAAAGCTACATGACACCATCCCTATATCTTTGTTTTATTGTTTATAAGCAAACTTTCCCTTGAGCTAAATATACATGCAAGACAACCTCTATTGCAGAGCCGTATAACAACAAAGATATAGGGATGGTGTCATGTAGCTTTGTGCAACTTTGCCGTGTAATGACCCCTTGTTTGTTCCTTTTTGGTGCTTCAAGCCATCCCTATATCCCCCTTTCATTTTGAAGAAATGATTTTTCCACTTGTTTCCACTATTTTTAACTGCTTATGACAACACTGCATTTTCAGTCACCTGATGTTCATGGGTATGTTGTAGAGATAACTGATGAAAGCAGTAGCTAATGGGCTGCTGCGCCTGAAGCGGGGATGTACGCGTAGTGTCTCCAGGCCAACAAGGACGCAATAATCAGGTGGTGGCACACGGTGGCGATTTCATGGGCAGGCTTCAGTAATGGTATATAGCTATTAGCTAGCTACCCGGGGGACAAAGAAAGAAGGCTAATTGTAAGGCTCGCGTAACCCGGCGCAGACTGCCACGTGCAAATCAACAGCTAAAAGCAAGCTAGCCAGTTAAAAATGTGTATACTGACTTACAGAAGGCACTGGAGGATAAGAGTTCCTCTGCAGGCATCCTGGCTTAGTCTCGTAGACCTGGTTCACGCACGAGAATGCGCGCGCACCGCTTTGGGGAAACGCCCTCCTCGGCGCATGCGGCTCACTGATGCTGAGTTAGCAGCAAAAATGGCGTTGTTCAGTGACTACCGTGGAGGAGCTCAACGATCTACCGTAGTGACTTGCGGCAAGAAAGAGACGATCGCTTGATGTTCGTGCACACCTCTGGCGAATTTGGAAACGTTTGATGGAAAAATCAGCACTTCAACTATTTTCGGTAACGAGATAGCGGGTTTACTGAAGAAGAAACCGGAAGATGAAGAATATGATGATGATGATGACACGAAAATCGTGAAATCGCGTAAGAGCCAATTCTCTCGTGGGGAACTGAGGGCACGTAGGAAGTCTTGGGGAGTATGTATAGCTAGGTATTGGCCTGTAGACTATTGCTAGTGATTTTCAAGCAATGGTGAGTCATTCTCGCCAAGTTTTGAGGCGTTTTGTACGCGGATCACGTGAGATTTCACCCGTGTCATCCCTATATAGAGCGTCTACCGACGCTCTGATGAAAAGCACTGAAGTGCAAACCCTCGGCGCACTGTTGCCGTACCACTAATTGATGGGCTGGGTTTAGTTTTAGCTGTTACTCGCGGTCTCTTGCCAGCTCGCGCAGAGTCTGACGCGGGCTAACTAGATAGCATGCGAGAGGCGATAGACGCCCTGCGTTGCATCTTCTGGTGCCTCCGAGGTACGCAGAGCACGCGGAACGATCATGCCGTAGTAAGCCGTCCCGTCCGTTGTGTATTTGCATATTGGCTTTTTCGCGCTCTAGCTTTGCAACGGAGCGTTTTCAGAGAAAACTGTTCGAAATTTATGACCTTCATTGCCCGTTCAGTAGGTGGTATCATTTGTGAGACGAAAGAACATTCGAGAAGTGAGATGAAGAGTAACAGACAGACACACAGACAAACCCAACTACAGTACCCTCGCTGCGCATGCGCGCCGAGGGTAATGAAGGGAGGACGGATAATATTAAGGTTATTGCACCGTGGACAAATGCCACGCATTCTTTTGGCGAGCAGTTCAATTTTCGCGAATCACGTAGCTAGAACCTTACGGTACAATTATGCAGTGCCCTTCACATTAGAAAATTCAGACGGCTCGCCAATTATAACGACTATATAACTACGTAACTAGGTTGGAGGCTCGCCAAGAGGTCGTGCATTATCTAAAAGCATCATCCACATCTAGCAACGGCCTAGCCTCGCTAACCAGCCAGACCATAGCTCACGAAAAACTAGGGCTTGCCAGAGCTGATCAATGTCGCCATATTGGATTGATACATTGATCGGCTCTGGCAAGCCGTTGGACAACATACATGCATCTGTGTGGCTGTGTGGGTGTAACAGTCTCGCGACTAGTCTCGCGGAACCAGCACCGCACGACACCTGGTAGGTTTACTTTACAGCAACAGAAGAGCGAGCCTGTTTGAGTTGAACAGTGAATAGCTGTTGGCGTTTCAAGTCGCCTAGGGCTCGCTGTAAAGTTTTCCAAACTTACGCATGCGCACACCGCTTCACGCTTTTAAGGTGCAAGGAGCGTGAAAACCGCTGTAGTATGCGTTTACTCGTGGTCTCCCGCTAGCAGCTCCCGGAGAGTCTAGCTACAGTAGTAGATAGCATGCCGGAGTCGATACACACCCTTAGTTGTGACTTCTTGTGCCTTCAAGATACACAGACCCGGTCGAGTGCTAATTAGCATATTGGCTTGTTCACTTGGTTTTCACGCCATAACTTTAGAACGCAGTAGTTTTATCATCAAGCTAGTGTAGCGTTGAACCCGTTACTATCGCTCTTTGGCCGGTTTTATTGCGCCTGGTGGCAGAAAACGTGGTAACAGACAGACGGACACACCTATAACCCTCCCTGCGCATGTGCGCCGAGGGTTTAATGACCGGTGTATAATAATACGCGGTATGATCTAGTCTCGTGCCCAGCAGCCGCACACACACGGCGCGCTCGCGGCCGGCTCCACGCGGCCGGGGCACGATGTAGCGCACTGCGCATACACAGTAGCTACTATTCGCCGATCAGCCGTCAAGGTAAGCCAGTGCGATTTAGTAGTGGCTCCCTTGTCGGCTGGCGTCCGTTGACCTCCTCGTAGCCTGTAAGTAGTGCCAGCTGCAGACAAACAGACGCACAAAACTGGTGAACCCTCTCTGAGCATGGGAAAACCTGCCCGGTTGATGGAGCAGTTTTCATGAAGTTTGACCTCTGAATTTTGACCTCTAGCTAACAATCATGTTAGAGCGAGAAAGACTGCGTGACGTTGCTCGATCAACGCGCTACGCCGGTTTGCATGCACACATTTAGTGCTCTCCATAGCTTCTGGGCCTTAGTAGCCAAACCTAAGCGTTTTTCCTGGCTCTTTTTAGCAGAAATCTCAACAATGCCTGACACAGCGTTAGCAGAAATAAGTAGCTATAATTGCTGCTGAAGCGCGGCGCCACTAATAGCACACTGGGAGTTGATGCGCAGCAGTGTGCTGAAAATTTGAAGGGGTTCTATGAGACCCCTCACGGCGATCCTGACCGTCTTCTTCCTTTTGTTGATGTTACCTTTTCGAGTCGTCGGTTCCGTTAGACTCGTTGATGGTAACGGACCATGCGAAGGAAGAGTTGAAGTCTTCTATGGAGGCCAGTGGGGTACAGTGTGTGATGATGGCTGGGATATTGCTGATGCTAATGTGAGTTCACGATTGAATGGACTGCAGCGTTGTGTTATAAGTTCACTCCCAGGTTGTATGTTTACAAGTTGGATGTGGCCCAGCAGTTTCTGCCCCACAAAGAGCTCGGTATGGGCAAGGATCTGGGCCTATTTGGATGGATGAGGTTTATTGTAATGAGAGAAACACTCGTCTAGAAGAATGTCAGTTTGGAGGATGGGGTGGCCACAATTGTAGACATCGTGAAGATGCGAGTGCTATTTGTGAAGGTAAGGTTACATTGCAAAAAAATAGTGATATTGCATTGTTCCAGTTTTGAACTATTATTTTAGACTTCCCGTGTCCTGACCCAAGTGACATTGCTAATGGAACTGTTTCATACACGGGGAGTTCACTTGGTGGCACAGCACATTACTCTTGTGATGATGGTTTTATCTTATTCGGACAAAATGTAACAAAATGTCAAAACAATTCCACATGGGAAAATCCCCCATCATGTCATTCATCCGGTAAATGTAGGGACATCCTTTTTAATCACACTTCAAAGGTGGCAAAATCTTTACACAGCAATATCATTTCAGAGTAACCAGTATACTGCTATTGAAGGGGTGGATGAGTCTGTTACTATCACAGTAGTGAGATATGGAGACAACAGTTCTGATCTTTGTGTTAGTATTTCAATTTCAGGAGGAAACGAAGGTGAGCCACATCATTAAAGAGTTGTAGCTAGCCCCCTTTTAAGAGGAAAACACCTTATCCAACACATATCCATGAACAGACACAGCATCATCTAGTCTTGTCCTTCGGTACATAATAGTATAGAGAGATTATTATCATGCCCTTATGAACACAAATATCTTGTAATGTTGGCTTTGCGTCTAGATTAACATCCCCCTTTTGCTAGGCTATGCAAACAATCCCCGATTATGTCCACTATATACATTGGAAGATGATGTAGGCAATTGTATTGTCAGTCACCCTCAAAAAATAATCTAGAATTTTTTTGTCTCTAGCAATGCTCGACGTTCCATTAAACCTTTTCTTGGTTGCAAGTGAAATTCAATCTACTCTTACAGTTCCTATTGGAGACGATGTTATCGTTGAAAATGATGAAACGACAACTATTGTGTTATCAGTTAATAACACTGATGTGGGAATTATCAACAACACAGATGCAGTAATTACCATACTTGACAATGATGGTATGTGAAACCCATAAACCTGTAAGTCGCTAAGCTTTATACATAATGTCAGGTGCAATTGTTGGTTTGGAGAGAACTCACTACAATGCCTCAGAGGAGAATGGGACTGTTGAAGTGTGCGCCATTATAAGGAACCCACACATTGAATGTCCAGTTGAAAAAACTTTTATGATGAGCATTTCTTCTGCAGATGGAAGTGCAGGTAAGTAAATCAAGCTTGTTTGATTTTGTTAATACTCTTTGTTTCGTTGTGCAGTTGCACCAAGTGACTATGATACACTTTCGACGTCTTTAGTTTTTGATGCCTGTGAGACAAGAGCATGTACAGATGTCAGAATTATAAATGACAACTGGTCAGAAAATGCAGAGACCTTCGCGGTATCCCTGGAGAGAAACAGTGCCCAAGATGCATGGTTGAGTATTGATCCAGCCGAAGCTGAAGTTACCATACTCCTTAATGATGGTAGGGAGATATTTAGTACCAGAGTCTGTTTTTCTATTTCTTAGCCCTGTCTCTGGAGCAATTAAAATGATAATGTATTAAAAGTGGTATATCAGAGAGTCGGTAGACTCTCTATATAGGGACGACACGGGTGAAATCTCACGTGATCCGCGTACAAAACGACTAAAATCTCGGTGAGAATCACTCCCTAGGCCTTCAAAACATACTAGCAATAGTCTACGGGCCCATATCTACCTATACATGTCCCCCAAGACCTCATACGCACCTTCAGTCGTCCACGCGAGAATTCGCTCATACGCGATTTCACGATTTTCGTGTCATCATCATATTCTTCATCTTCTTCTTCTTCAGACCCGCTAGCTCCTTACCGGAAGCACTTGAAGCGTTGATTTTTTTCACAGAACGTCTCCGAATTTTCCGGAGGTGTGCATGCATATCAAGCGATCGTTTCTTTCTTGCCGCAAGTCACTACGGTAGATCGTTGAGCTCTTCCTCGGTAGTCACTGAACAACGCCATTTGTTGCTAACTCAGCATCAGTGAGCCGCATGCGCCGAGGAGGGCGTTTCCAATGCGGCGCGCGCGCATTTTGTCTCGTAAACCTGGTCCACGAAAGAGACTAAGCCAGGACTGGATGCCTTCAGAGAAAACTACTCTCATCCTTCGGTGCCTTCTGTAAGTCAGTGTGCACATTTGTAAGTGGCTAGCTTGCGTTTTGCTGTTGATTTGCACGAGGAGCAACTTGGCAATCTGCGCCGTGTTACGCGTGCCTAGCCTTGCCAGGCGCCTTCATTCTTTGTCCCCCAGGTTATAGCTATCATTGTAGTCTGATTACTGAAGCCTGCCTATGAAACCACCCCACCATATGTGCCACAATCTAATTGCATCCTTGTTGGAGACACTACACATACACCCTGCTTCAGGTAGGAGCAGCCCATTAGCTTCTGCTTTCAACAGTTATCTCTACAACATCCATGAACATCAGAGTGACTGAAAATGCATTGTTGTCATAAGGCGTGAAAAATAGTGGAAACAAGTGGAAAAATCATTTCTTCAAAATGAAAGGGGGATATAGGGATGGCTTGAAGCACCAAAAAGGAAGAAACAAGGGGTCATTACACAGCAAAGATGCACAAAGCTACATGACACCATCCCTATATCTTTGTGTTATTGTTCACAACCAATCTCGCCCTGCTGACATTTTCCTCCCTAATTGGGAAAGAGCCGCGCTTGCCGTCTCCGTAATTTCCACTCTGCAACAGTTTACCTTGAAGTAAAGTTTAATATGAGACAAAGATATAGGGATGGTGTCATGTAGCTTTGTGCATCTTTGCTGTGTAATGACCCCTTGTTTCTTCCTTTTTGGTGCTTCAAGCCATCCCTATATCCCCCTTTCATTTTGAAGAAATGATTTTTCCACTTGTAGGAAAGAAGGGGAGGACAGGGGATCAAGGCAGGTGAGGAAAGATAGCTATCCCTGCCAAGTATTTGTTAGCATCCATTTTGTGTTGATGTCACATGATGTGATGAGTTAGAACACTCCTGATCGTTAGACAGCTGTTAGCTACTAGTTGCATGCACTATGGTAGTGTACACCCATTAATTTTATGGCTAATGTACCTAAACTGCACACTTGTTTTATTGGGTCTTGCCCCAATGAAGTTAGCTAACTGTATTAGAACACTTTTAAAATGTAGCTGTGATGTTAAAACTCTAACCGTAAATTAGGATATTCAGCTGAGTTGACAGTGGAGATAGTGAGTGCAGCATCTCTAAAAGTATCGTGGCACAAAAATGACACTGATACCATTGCATCCACCGTGAAATATGAATGTGCTACACCTCAAACTGATCATATTGCATCGACAATTGAACGGACGCTGCCATATCCTGACACATCCACCTACTTCGACATTTCTTTTTGCTACTATGACCCCGAGAAGAAGTACAAACACACAGCCACACTGCTCCAGACTAGCACAACTCCCAGCAAAGAACCAACCCTGACTTCAAACAGTTTTTATATAGGTTTGTTTAGTGCACTCATCCTTATAAATACCGTTCAATGCTGACTTTTTCACATCAGATTACAAGTACTTCCAGATTCAGTTTGGTCCAATGAAGTTATGTCTTGATTGGAAGGTATAATAATTTTTTACACAAGCATTTTTCACTTTCTATTTTGCATATATAATAGGTAGGAGAACAACAGCACATTGAGTCAAAGGTAAAGCAAAAAGTCACTGACATCATTCTTGAGCACTGTTCAGACTGCACCTGGTTCTCAGAGTCATTCATTGGACAAGGGTATTTTCTGTGCCACGATAACCCAAACACACCCACCTATCGCTCCTACATCACCACTCCTTATCCAGTGAGCACCAATACCAATTCTAGTGATCTACTAGCCATCATTGAGAACTGGATATCTTCAGCTCCAATAATGCTCTTTGATTTGCTTCTGGTGAAGATCAATCCCAGATGTCCTATTGCCATATCAAGTTTGAACGAACCCGAGTGCTTTTGAGAGTAAACTTTCTCTTTAGAACAGTTGAACAATGATAATTTTGTTATAGCGTTAATGAAAGTGTTCCTTCATCTAAATTTTAATACACTGCTGCCACAACTGCATTTTTGTGGAGAGACTGCATAAGTATGAGAACTTCAAGAGAGAGAGGGTCAACATTAGCATGTAACAATGCCCATGAACAGTAATTAGGCGGCAAGGGACAGATGTAATTGGTTCATGTCCTTTACTAGAAGCAGAGGAGTGCACTGCTGATAGCAGCATGATCTAGAACTCATTAGAGCCTACGGCCCATGTTCTGTCGGATGTGAAAAATTTAAAAGGAGAAATGTTTTGCTGCCACTTGCACACTTAGGCATATGTACAGCAAACGTTACATGTTAAATTTCAGTGACTTCTGCTCTCACCTCATGTGAACCTTAGTTAAAAAGAGGGAATGAAATATAAGGACAACCTCTCTCCTTCTATATAGTATTTTGCTTCCAATGACGCAACAGTAAGATGTATTTTAGTAGCCACAACACACTGGACAAATTTGCAACTATCCTATCTGATCATAGGTGCAAATTGTATAAGGATAGTTCGGTAGTATCCGACCAGCAGTTGATAGGTAGTGGTCAGTTGAACTAAACTCTAGTATTTCCTTTGGTATGGATAGCTGTAGTTTGTTAGTTCTGACCAGCAGTTGATAGGTAGTGGTCAGTTGAACTAAACTCTAGTATTTCCTTTGGTATGGATAGCTGTACTTTGTTAGTTCTGACCAGCAGTTGATAGGTAGTAGTCAGTCGAACTAAACTCTAGTATTTCCTTTGGTATGGATAGCTGTAGTTTCACATAGCATGATGGCACAGGGATAGGTGGGTGTCTATCCTAGACATGATATTCACTGGAAATTTGAAGTATTTCCTTTGTTGCTGATAGGTGCACTATACAACGAATCAAATGATGTCATGATAAATGCAACAGTCACACACATCACACACTACATATATTGTCAGCATTGTGAGATGTTCCCATAGCCGATCTAATGAGACATCACTATGCTTTAACACAACCCATGTATTTCAACTCTTCTTGTTTTTCGTTATCTCTTCTGTCTTTTGCGCTTCTTTCTCTTCATCTCCATGCTTGGTGGTCCTCAAAAACATGTAATAGAGGATAGCACAATGAGCAACAAAGCATAAGAGTAAATATTGTGAATACTACAGCCATACAGCCACAAAGCCCAACATACAAGACTGACAGCCGTATAGCCACAAAGCCCAACATATCAGACTGACAGCCATACAGCCACAAAGCCCAACATATCAGACTGACAGCCATACAGCCACAAAGCCCAACATATCAGACTGACAGCCATCAGCCACAAAGCCCAACATATCAGACTGACAGCCATACAGCCACAAAGCCCAACATATCAGACTGACAGCCAGTCAGCCACAAAGCCCAACATATCAGACTGACAGCCGTACAGCCACAAAGCCCAATATATCAGACTGACAGCCGTATGGGCACATAGCCCAAAATACCAGACTGACAGTGAGGGAAATATATAAACGAATGGACAGACACATCCCTCCCTACATTAAAACCTGCAATACAGAGACCAAAACTCACCAGCACTAGGAGTCAAGAATCAGCCCGTCTCTCTGGCTGAACCGCCTTTTCCCGGCAGAATACCGCCAAGTCTTACGCGCATGCGTAAAAAATATCGTTCGATTTTTTGCCAGTCCGAGTTTGAATCTTGCCATGCAGAGAGAAGGAAGAAGACTCGATCTCTCCGGGAGTGGAAGAGCCTTCGTGAACGTAAGACTGTTGGATGTCTAGATATAAGTGTCCCCCCTGGTTACTCCTGTTCTAGATGCAGGAGGCTGTTGCCGGATTACTCGCCCGTGCAAGCCGAGCGTGAGCCCCTCGCGGAACGGTAAAAATTGAGACCTTGAGTGTACAGACCTCTATCTATCTCAATCCTAGTCTCCTTGGGGTTCTCCTGTGCCGGTCCAGGAGGCAACCCCTGATAGATTTTGCTGTGTAAGTAAACCTCGAGTGTAAGCGTGTGTTTACACATGTGATAAGTAACTTCTGCCATTTAGCACAGCATGACAACTTCGCCCTAGGTGACTGACAACACAGTAAGTTGAATCTACTGCAGTAAGTACATGTTCGTGAGTGTTTACTTTGCGCAGGTACGATAATTGCAGCAGCAGTGTGTTTAAACAAAGGCAAAACGACGACGAAGAGGGAGAAGAAGATGGGCGTGCTGATTTTATGGTGAAAAAGCTTCACTGGAGGAGTGAGAGGGTGTCCAGCTTTTTTTAACGACTCGACACTGCCCGTGCATCCCGAAAGACCGAACAACCAAGTCGTCAAACACAGCCACGCATATACAGTGATTCAATCTCATCAAGACCTGCTCCCCTTGGGTTTCCCAGCTGGGCAGTGATCCAGCAGTGAACATACTGAACAATGGATAATTTCATTCTTTTGTTAATCATGTGAATTGACAGGGATATGTGATGCGCAAGATGATCTGATAGATCATGAGCACATTTGGGGATAGTCTTAAAGATATGTGATGTGCAAAGTTATTATAGGTGGTCTGCATTAGATATAAAAGGTCAAGGTTAGGTCTTCTGCTAACTACCTGTCAAGTACCTGGCACTTACCCCTATCCACTACTGGTCAGGTGGCAGGAAATGTCTTCTATCTGGTAGTGCATGATAGGCCAGAGCACATGAACTCCCACCAAGCAATCCTTGATCAAACCAGCAGTTTGGCAGTTCAAAATTTGCCCAGTGACAGACAGAAAATATATGAGTAAATACTATAATTATACTGTTCTGTGTACATACTAGTCATACTACTACAAGCCGAGGCAGTTTCCTTAGGAATCACTGAGAGCCATTTCATTGCTCCTAACAGGTGTCCTCCGCGTTGAAGGTGCATCGATTTATTAAATGGGGACATATCCTTCCCCCCTGGGATGATTGGCTGTGTCCGCAGTGCTCTTTGTGAGCTACCAAAAGTTTTGTTTGGTGAACTCAACCAACTCCTACCAATGGAAGTCATAATAGCCACGCCCCAAAATCTGTGTATGGACCCTGTGCTAGTGAGAGGTGCGTCGTTTTATCTTGTGTTTTTGTGATTCCGTGATTCACTACCACTGCACTGCATGTATTATTCCGCGCATGCTCACGCGCGTGTGGGTTCCCAGGCTATATAAAACGCTGACGTTACACATGCATGCACTCGCAGTTCGCGTGCGGGCGCGTAGCAGCAGTTTTGAATCACGAGTGATGGCAGAAGGTTAGCAACCATAGTATGTCTCTCTCATTGTTAAACTATGCTGTTTTCTCAGGCGGCTTTGACGATAAACCACCGATAACCAAAGACGTATGTCGTGAATGTAAACATCAGCTACAGGATTTTGTTAATTTTGGTACGCTTCAGAAACAGTTCGAGAAACACGGCATCCCGTTATATAGTTTTGATGATGTTAGAAGGGAGCTAAAGGACAACAATGATGAGATTGACTGCATGTTATACTTTTTGACCAAGGTGGATAATGGATTTCAGATATTTTATGACAGTCTCAGAGAGACGCAGCACTCATGCCCCAAACACAAGCTAGCAGCTGATATTTTGAAATATACAGGTAGGTTTACTCCTTCGTATTCACTTGCCTATGCTGTTTTATACAGTGGGTCCCGGTTAATATCATACCCGCGGTGCATAATGCGGGTGCGTATATATACTGTGTATACTCCGGGTGTGTATACTGTGTATAGCAATGTATATTATTGTGAACTAGATAGCGCACAATGCAGTTTGTTTAATTAACTAAGCTAAGCCAGCTAAACGGGAGTTCAGCCCAAGGTTGTAGCGTACGCTGCCAATTATCGACAGGCTAGTGTACCTGATAGTATTGTGCAGCACTAGAACCTCCTTTGAAACGGGTTCTTTTTCCTAGACTACGATAACTTGTTTCTAAATAACGCCAACTATTCTAAGCGCCCCTAAACGCATAAGGTAAATGTTGGTATTTTGAGCCACCTAAACTTTCTTCTTAATTTTTCCTACAAATACCGGTGAATTAAAGTGAAATTTATGTTACATGACTATCAGGACATGACGATTCTAAAAATCAAATCGGTTTCAGAATATATTCACAGTAGGTAATGCAAAATATTTGTTTTATAACCCTCTAAAAGCAGCAATTATGAGTCAGTGATGGTATTATGAGTCGACTTAAAACGTATTCTTTGATGAAGCAAACAGTTGCCCATTCGTGTTCACAATACTTAGATATACAAAAAAAACCAAAAACCACAAATTAATCATAATTTTACCAAAACATTTATTTAAAACCTCCCCCAAATTAAACCCTTTGAGTCAGTGATGCAACCATTGTGACCTCTTGACTTTTGGCTATTTTGTCGCAAAAGTAACCCGCAGCACGTGTTAAAATGTGGCGACGATTTGCTGGGCTCCCGGCGGTATATAGGAAGCAGTTACAAAGTGTTTGGCAGCTTTTTGGAATATTTACCCATAAATACCCCCCCCCCCCCCCCGACTCATAATACCAACACTTACCTTAATACTGTAAGCGCTAAGCGCCGTCTCCAACCACCTCAGTATACCGTTTATCGGAACGCTGTACGTATTATCGGCTTCCAATACATTTCTCCCATACCGATTATCGGCACTCACTACTTGGCGACCAGTAAAAGGTGCTGCGCAATAAATAGAAAGGCACTGTACGTTTTATGCACTACAGATAACGTAGTATGTGTTGTAAAAACAATGAAATTTTGTGGGAAAACATGTCATTCAGCAAATAAATCGCATAGCCTTTCTTTTCCAGTGCTATCCAAAACACACTCCTCCATACACTCCTCGTGAAGCTACATGCCGCAAGCACAGCCAACCCAGTCCTTTCCTGTCTTGTTCAGAACGTCATCTTCATATGTTATGAAACATACACAGCACCGACTGTCGTCAATGGCTCCATCTGCAACTCGGGCCTTCTTAGTTGGTGGCTGTTCGCTTGATCGTCTAGTGCTGCTTGTGGATGTGTTATGATTACTGGTGGTGTTCGGTGGGTTTTGCACTTTCTTTTTCTGTTTGCGGGCCTTTTGTGCCGCCTTTTTCGACTTGTCTTTGGCTTTTTCTACCGCTCTTCTTCCTCGTTCGTCTGATTTTCGTTTTCGTTCTTCCTCTCTCTTTCGTTTATTGTCCTCCCTCTCCTTTTTTTCTGCTCTTTCAACTCTGCCTCCTCCTTTTTTCTTCTCTTTCTTCTGTAACATCTCCAACATCCCAGTGCTGGTCAGTAAACGTGCTTGTGGCAGCACTTTCTTTGGTCCACAAGGTGTTGAAGCTGCTGATGCCACTAAGAACTTGGAAAGAGCACTGTCCTTCTCTTTACTTGAGCTGGTTGCAAGAGAGGGAGAACTGGTGGACAAATGTGAAGAGGTTGAGGCAGAGGAAGATGCACCACCAGAGGGACACCAGTTTCGTCTACGTTGTAGATATGCGAGGGCTTGTTCAGAAGGCCATGTGTTGTCAATGTCTCGCGCAGTAGCATAAAGTAGTGGTCAATTGTCTCCTGGTTCATGGTGTCCATCCGGGCGTGAGCAGTGCTGTCCCCCTGCCGCAACGACAAGTCACCCTGATGCTCCTTGAATCGTCTCCACCAGCCATCAGACACATGGCCGGACCGCAGTTTACCACTCTCGTTGACAGCAGATTCGACAATACAGAGCACATCCCTCCTCGTTTTTCCATACCCAACTTTGGCACAGTGCTTTAGGTAGCCACCTAGCTCTTTCTTTTCTGTCTGACTGAGGTACGGTTCGGGGCCTGGCTTTACACCGTGGACAACTCCTCCGCTAACGCGGTCGTATAAGGTATATACTCCTAGGTACATCGAAATCCGGTGCCGCTTTACTGACAGACACACCTTCTTCGACTGCCTTGAGAGCTAACAGCATATTCTATTCGGTCCACTGCTTTCGCTTTCTAGTCCTGGACGGTGGAAGACGCACAGCAGCAGGAGCAGAATGCGATCGTTTCCGAATGGCGAAGGACTTCCTTCTGCTGGGCATTTTGGTCAGTTAGGCTAGATAAGGAGAATAATCAGTTTATGCAGGTTTTCCAGTCTCGGTTTTGAGGTAACTCACCCGTAGGAGCAAAGAAACTGAGAAAAACCGAGTGCAAACAAGGGCCGAAAAAAGCGACGTGTCGTCCTCCGTATACTTCACCGCACACTGGACGTAAATTAGACGTGCTCTTCACGCGCGTTGTCGTTGCCGATAATAGGTAGAGTCCGATAATTGGCAGTGTGCGCTATATAGAATGCATAATAACGCATGCGCTATAATGACAATATGCGGACACATGGTAATAGGCGGGATATGACATTATCCGTATTCTATAAAACGGAGTAAAATGTATGGGAAAGCATAGGAAATGGTTTTGGATTTCAGGTTTGTATGATTATAAACGAGATATTCTATTAAACGGTATGATATTAAGTGGGACCCACTGTTCTTCTCTCTCTCCTCATTGTGCAGCAACATCCGAGGCTGATGAAAAGCATTGCCAATTATCAATTTATTCAGAAAAGGTTTATATTTACAAAGGAAAAAAGTCCAAGTTTATTTGGGATGAGGCTGGTATCAGTCTATCACTCCCAGAAGCACATTGTGAAAAGGATGTAAAGTTATCAGTTAAAATTGTAAATGACGACCTTCATCTACCCTCAGAGAACCAGGGTATGCCCTTAGTCAGTGCATTGTACAAGATAACTGCAAGTGATAAATTGCCGGTTCTGGCCACAGTAAGAATACAGCACTGTGCTGTCGTCGACAAAGAAAATACATTGATGTTCTTAATAGCCCACGGAAAGCCTCCTTACCACTTTACACCCCTGCTTGGAGGAAAGTTCCCCTTGAAAAAATGTTATGGAGAAATAGATTTGGATGAATTTAGCATTTTAATAATATTGCAAAACATTAGGCATTGGAACATGCGGTTTGCTGTTCATATAGTTTATTGCGGCGATGGTACTGCCGATTTTGCTGTGACAAAAAATATTTCACCACACGTTACTGCTGTAAAAGAGGAATACCATCATGACACCAAGTTTTATACATCCGAAATGACATGCTCTTATTCAACTGATGCGATCGCTCTTTCAATACCAGAAAATCCAACTAAGGGATGGAAAGTGGAATCGATTTTTGAACCTCCAAAAATCCCCCTCACCCAAATCCATGAGTACCAACCGGGAAAGATAATCCCACGCATCAAGCTCAATATGAAGTGGCTGGGACGGACACAGCCAAGAGAAGAGTCAGTGAATATTGGAGTTAAAGGAGGCAGTATTGATTCGTTCAAATTACTTTGCAAACTACCATCTCAACTACAACCACAACCAACACCTCCCATTCCCTCCCAGAATGTTTTTTTTCGGTGTGACAAACCAACTCTCCCCCTACTTCAAAGGTTCCCTAAGCAATCAGGAGGTGTCATTAATATCATTCAAGAGATTGAAGGAAAGAAACACGACTTGGGCATACTTATACTCAATGATGAAAGTGGTCAAATCACAGCAACTATTGAGACCCAGTATAGACCTGACCAGACTCGAATAACAAAAGCTATTCTTCAGAGGTGGTTGGAGGGAACTGGGAGGACACCACAATCCTGGGCCACTCTTATTACTGTATTGAGAGAGGTGGATCTCAATGTTTTAGCAAAGCAAATCAAAGACAACTTAGTGCAGGAACAGGATCCAAATCATGGGTATCCACACGTAATATTTTGTCATGTGGCCACTTGTGCACATAGCCTATGTATAGTGCATTTTTGCCTATTATGTTAAATAATTACATTAATTAACCCATCATAATTATTATGTTTCTTCAGGGGTCCCTCTTTTATCCCAAGTGCCTCACCTAGTGGGAGAGGAAAGAGAAAAAGAAAGACTGACTCAAGAAGCAAGCCTGCCACAAAGCAAAGAAAAAACTAGCCATAACTTCAATAAAACTTTGTATAAGAGTAATCATAATTATGCCGTGTATTATTCTTTTCCTTGGTGTGACAAACAGAATAAAAGCCAACAATTTTGACCTAGATATAATTATACTAGTCACGAATAACTTCCACCAGGAATGTAATGAATGTCACAGAATGTTGAAGAGGCTAGAGATCAAGTGGTACAACAGACTCTCACCTTTAACCTTCCACCAATAGACTTTGTAGTATCTAACCTGACAACAACATGAAGTGTATGTGCCTATGATTTCCATGCCGTTGTGGCAGCATAAATATTTCGTCAGTGTGATGCTTGAACAGACCATGAAGAGTATCAAAACTAGCCACACACTAACTCACTCTCTAGCAAGCAATGTCTAAATTACAGGAGACATTGCTCTGTGCTGTTTGTTTAGGAGGAGACTTTATTGTCAGAATGTATGCATGGAACCAGACTGGTTTGGCTGGGACTCTTCTTGTAATGTTGTTTTCAGACGATACTTTTGACATTTTAAATATAATATGCGTAAGGGACTATAGCTATATATACAATATCTAGCTAGGTATTCGTGTCGTATATAGGAGTGTCATTGTTTAGCTAACTCCCGAGGGAATAGCTACTACCGTCTATATAAGAAGAGCCTTAACAATCTCCGGCACGTTGTAGTTGCTATGAAGAGAGGACGGATAATATTACGGTATTCCACCGTGGACAAATGCCACGCATTTTTTTGGCGAGCAAAATCACATATATACATAGCTAGAGCCTTACGGTATAATTATGCAGTGCCCTTCACATTAGAAAATTCAGACGGCTCGCCAATATAACGACTATATAACTACGTAACTAGGTTGGAGGCTCGCCATAAGAGGTCGTGCATTATCTAAGCATCTAGCAACAGCCTAGCCTCGCTAACCAGCCAGACCCTAGCTCACGAAAAACTAGGGCTTGCCAGAGCTGATCAATGTCGCCATATTGGATTGATACATTGATCGGCTCTGGCAAGCCGTTGGACAACATACATCTGTCTGGGTGTAACAGTCTCGCGACTAGGTCATCTATAGTCTCGCGGAGCCAGCACCGCACGACACCTGGTAGGTTTACTTTACAGCAACAGAAGCCTGTTTGAGTTGAACAGTGAATAGCTCTTGGCGTTTCAAGTCGCCTAGGGCTCGCTGTAAAGTTTTCCAAACTTACGCATGCGCACACCGCTTCACGCGTGAAAACCGCTGTAGTGTTTACTCGTGGTCTGAAGATGCATCGATTCATTAAATGGGGACATATCCTTCCACCTTGGGATGATTGGCTTTGTCAGTAGTGCTATTTGTGAGCTACCAAAAGTTTTGTTTAGTGAATTTAACCAACTCCTACAAATGGGAGTCATATTAGCCACGCCCCCAAATGTGGGTATAGACCCTGTGCTAGTGAGAGGTGTGTCGTTTTATCTTGTGTTTTTGTGATTCACTACCACCGTGCACTGTGGCTCAAACATGAATTATTCAGCGCATGCTCACGCGCGTGTGGGTTCCCAGGCTATAAAACGCTGACGTTACAAATGCTCTCGCAGTTCGCGTGCGCGCGCGCAGCAGCAGTTTTGAATCACCAGTGATGGCAGAAGGTTAGCAACTAAAGTATGTCTCTCTCATTGTTAAACTATACTGTTTTCTCAGGCGGCTTTGACGGTAAACCACCGATAACCAAAGACGTATGTCGTGAATGTAAACATCAGCTACAGGATTTTGTTAATTTTGGCACGCTTCAGAAACGGTTCGAGAAGCACGGCATCCCGTTATATAGTTTTGATGATGTTAGAAGGGAGCTAAAGGACAACAATGATGAGATTGACTGCATGTTAGACTTTTTGACCAAGTTGGATAATGGATTTCAGATATTTTATGACTGTCTCAGAGAAACGCAGCACTCATGCCCCAAACACAAGTTAGCAGCTGATATTTTGAAATATAAAGGTAGGTTTACTCCCTCGTATTCACTTGCCTGTGCTGTTTTTTTACTTCTCTCTCTCCTCATTGTGCAGCAACATCCGAGGCTGATGAAAAGCATTGCCAATTATCAATTTATTCAGAAAGGGTTTATATTTACAAAGGAAAAAAGTCCAAGTTTATTTGGGATGAGGCTGGTATCAGTCTATCACTCCCAGAAGCAAATTGTAAAGAGGATGTTAAGTTATCAATTAAAATTGTAAATGACGACCTTGTTCTACCCTCAGAGAACCAGGGTATGCCCTTAGTCAGTGCATTGTACAAGATAACTGCAAGTGATAAATTGCCGGCTCCGGCCACAGTAAGAATACAGCACTGTGCTGTTGTCGACAAAGAAAATACATTGATGTTCTTAAAAGCCCACGGAAAGCCCCCTTACCACTTTACACCCCTGCTTGAAGGAAAGTTCCCCTTGAAAAAATGTTATGGAGAAATAGATTTGGCTGAATTTAGCATTTTAATAATATTGCAAAACATTAGGCATTGGAACATGCGGTTTGCTGTTCATATATTTTATTGCGGCGATGGTACTGCTGATTTTGTTGTGACAAAAAACATTCCACCACATATTACTGCTGTAAAAGAGGAATACCATAATGCAACTAAGTTTGTTACATGTGAAATGACATGCTCTTATTCAACTGATGCGATTGCTCTTTCGGTACCAGAAAATCCAACTAAGGGATGGAAAGTGGAATCAAGTTATTAACCTCCAAAAATCCCCCTCACCCAAATCCATGAGTACCAACCGGGAAAGACAATCCCACGCATCAAGCTCAATATGAAGTGGCTGGGTGGCTGTTCATTAACATCAATGTCAGCATACAGGGGATCGTTAGCCTTCAAATATCTCAATGCATCATGGAGTTTCGGGGGTCTTATGTAATCGTACATGTAATGGCCTCGGTATGCTACTTTACGTTTCAGTTTCAGTGGAACTAGCTCAGACTTTGAAGGCAAACGTGGCAACACATCACAAATGGTATCAACCTTTGATGGTACATTCAATGCTGGACCATGGATTGACCTTTGTTTACCAGATGGCAATGCTACCATTTTCGTGAGCGGTAGCTACATGCAGGGAAATCAACCTCTATTCCAGTGCATTTAGGCCAGAAAGCACAGGTGGTATATAACACAACTGTAACCCATTAGTCTTCGCTTGCAGTGGCATGGAACCTCTCACCAAAGATCTATCACATGTCTTGTATATCCATGTTTCAATCATTAACCCTCGGCGCGCATGCGCAGCGAAGGTTAACTCGTCCGTCTGTCCGTCTGTTACCACGTTTCTGCCACCAACTGCAACAAACAGGTAAAAAAAGCGACACAAACGGGTGCGGCGCTACACCAGCTTTATTTTTATAATTGCGATTTTCGTAAAAGTGCCGCGTTCTAAACTTATGGCGTGAAAAATGCTAATCGGCACAGACTTACCGCGTTTGTTCTGTGGATGTTGAAGGCACAAGAAGTCGCAAAAAACAACGTGCATCGACTCCCCCATGCTATCTACTACTGTAGATAGCCCGTGTCTCTCTCCGCGAGCTGCTAGCGGGTAACCACGACCACGAGTTACGCATACTATAATAGCCCAACCCATCAATTAACCGTACCGCGCATGCCCAGTTCGCCGAGGGTTTGCACTTTAGTGCTTTTCATTGCGAATGTAGCTAAAATCAGCATTAACTGGGTGTTCGGATATGTAGCTAACATCCTACTGTGTAAATTCAACATGTTACAACGATAATAAATGTATCAGTCATCAGTTAGATCACCACCCTCTTGATAATCAGCAAAATCAACCTTGAAGTGCGCCGCCGTGGCAAGTGCAAATATAGGTGCAGTGATGGGTGTCAAAGCCAGGCTCAGTGGAATAGCTGCAAAGCTCAGGCTGACCAAAACTTCCGATTGAAACTGTGTTTAATTTCGATTCTCCACCATATGACTTGTTTTGTTTGAAAGCCTCACAGGAAGCTCCTATTGCGTAAGGCAGGAAGAGAGCAGTAGCAGCACCCACACCAACCCCGGCAGCTGACACTAATGCAGTGGGGAATATAGACTCTGACCTTTCACCACTCGCAAGACTTGTTATGGTGCTGTTCGTGGCCACGACTTGAAATTCGTGTGTAGTCATGGATTTCAGGCCTTTCACTAGAGCCTTAGTTTTCTTTGTCCTCGCCACTTCTTTCCATTCCCCATCTTTATCTTTCTTGTACACCACATACTCTTCGACTGCTTCCGCATTGTGCTCTGGAGGCATCCAACTTAGTTTGACTCGATCAGTTGCTTGTCCGATGATCCAGACATCTCTTGGGCTTTCCCGGTATCTTCTTGAGTACGCTTCCGAGCTGAGCTATTTCTGAAAGACCTTTCTCTAAAATTTCACCAGCAGCTGGTCCTACGGCACTTTCTTTGTATTGCGCAATGATTTCCTCAACTTTGATCTCGATATTCAGTGGTTGTGAATTCCGTAAAGCTTCGCTGACTTCATGTTGAATGTTACTGTTTGCCATAAGCTGCATGAGTAGGTTCTCGCAGTGTTGCTTTGATTTCAGGAAGTTAAGAGTAGTAAACTGGAGCAGAGAGCCCCCAGTGACTTTGGGTTCTTCATTTGCACTTTGTTTATTCCACTGCACAATGTCTTGCTCCAGTTGGTGGAGTAAAGGTTGTGCATCTTCATCACTGGAGCGAAAGAGGGTTGATGCGGCAGATTTCTTTCTTGAGAAAACTCTTCTTTTCGCTAAGTATCTCACGGTGAATGCACAAGAGACACTTTTCTTCAATGGGTAACTTTTCTTCCAAGGCTTCCTCATTTCTAAGAGTATTCCTTTAACTCTAGTGTTATAACAGCCTGCCAGCCCTGGTCAAGGTCTGGTAGGGCACCTGGCCTGTTGACTGCCTCAACGTAACATTCAGCTAGAGCAGCCAGAGCCTTTCCAGTCACTCTTACAGCGCCATCGACAGCTTTCTTTGGAGCGATTTTCAGGAGGATTTGCTGAATCAGTGTATGGACTTTGCTATTGAATTTTGGATTGAGCTTGTCCTGGTTGTTGAAAATGTCACGAACGAGATTCGACTGGATTGACGGGAGTGGGAGAGTTGCACATTCGAGTGAGGGGAAAATGCCGACTAGAGACTTCCCCAGGTCTGTAAGCTCTCCCGATGCAGACGCAAGGAGCCGAGTGTGAAGAAACTCAGTTGGGTCAAGTTGCTTACCTTCCGTGTCTGTCATTGTGAGAGTCACGTCCCGCAGCAGCCAAAGAAAATGAGGGAAGAAAGCTTTCTTCTCATCGATCGACATTGAATCCCTACGCTGAGCAAGAAGGGAGGCCGAGAGTTGGGAGAAACACCTCATCTTGCTCAGATCCCGTTTTTGAGGCACATTCTTGGAGTTGTAGATGAGGAAGGAGCTTAGGAGAGTGGTGAGGGCGAGCAAGCTCATGGCCATGGTCTCAGAGGCTCCCACGGCATCGCTACCCTCGGTATCCAGCAAGACTGTGGCAAAATCTGGGCATTCTAGGATAGTGGTGGCCATCCAGATACCTCGAGTGCAGGCGTGCATGCTGTGGCCAAGCTTGAAGGCGCCATGAGGGCTGCCTAGCACGCGAGAGATGAAGTAAGACTTCCCTGAACGGTAGGGCCCACAGATGGAGAGGACGGCTAGTGGTTTTTCAATGGTTCGAAGAAGTTCGAGTGCATCCCCCACTAGTTTCAGGCTGTGGTTGTTGGGGTCTAGTTTACGAGTCTCCAGTTGGCAGGAGCGAGGGTTCCAGTTGTCCTGACTGGAGATGATGAGAGGGATGGAGGGAGGGAGGGGCTTACCACCAGGCAAGATGAGCTGGCGAGGAACTAGGGTAGAAGCACGAACTTGAGCGGCCATATTTGTATTGTTAATTGTAGACAAAGCGGCTAAGCGCGCGGGCACGCTATTCAACGGAAACGGAACTGAAAGTGATAGTACTATACTCAGAAAGGCACGAGAGCTTGTCCATGGTCGTCTAGGATCGCTAGTAGTCTATGAGACCTCCCAGAGTCAAATAACCACGCCATTTCACTAAGTCGCTGTCGTCGGCTGCCAGCTAGCAGCGATGGCGATCCGGGAACAGCGCATGCGCAGTAAATCAACGCATGCGCAGTACAGGACGTCTACCAACGCGACGGTTGCTCTCGATCTCTTAGCAGGCAATTTTTAAATCTATTTTTTTAGATCTTTTTATGCGTAGAAATACTCCAAAAATAAAACAAATAAAACAAAAACAAAGCAAAACAAAACAAACGAAACAACTAACATATTAAATGATGCTGTCAATAGAAGGGGGGCCAATGGGAAATCGATGGAGCCAAAGAGCGGCATTCCCATACCAGAGAGAAACAGAGCAGCGCTGGAAGAGGTGACGAATTGAGTCCGCGGGAGGGACCCCTAAACGCTGGCCTAGGAGGCGACCAATTCTGGACAACGAGGTGGTTGTGGCCTCACTCATGCCGCCCAGGGCCTCAAAAGCAAGGGGGATGAAAGAGACCCCAACAGCACGGCAAGCGGGGGCATGAGCTGACATCTTTCGATGCTCCGCAACAGCGAGGGCATGGCCAGCAGAGGAAGCAGCCCCTTGAAGGGTGAGGGGTTGAAGGGGGGAAATGACGGTCACATCCATAGCAGCTGGTTGACCCCGTTCCCAATTAGGAAGAAGGATGTCAGCAGGGCGGCTCTGTGATCCGGGGATGAGAGAAGGGACCTCCTTTCGTGGAGCCAAAGCAGCGGAGCGGGCGGCATGAAAAATGGAATCACATACAGAGTTGTGCCTAAGGATTCTATCACCGTTCCCCCCGCAACCGACCTGGTGGTCACCAAAGGTGTCAGCAACTGAGTGGCAAACGCCGCATTTCACCCCCTCCTCAAAAATCGGGACCCCCAACCAATATTGTAGGCAAACCCGGACCTGACGATCCATGAAGTGAAGGCCGAGGGAAGGCGAAGGAACAGCGTTCAGCCAATCACCAGCATAATGTATTGTATTGAAATGTAAGTTAGCCAAATACTTATTACAATTATGACTCTTAAAAATCAGTTAAGTACAGAGCTGTTGACCAGTAACCACCACAAACATCTACACATTGTGTTTGACCTTTAGCTCGCTATTATCGTGTTATTCGGATTGCTTGTTTTAGAAAAAGTACACAAGGCAAAAGTAAATCACCTCACCACATACATTAAATGGAGAGAGATAAGTGTGGTGGAAGCTTTGTAGGTTACCTACCTCTGAAGAAAAAGTACAACATGTGTGTAGCTACATTAATTTTAGCTCACTACGTCATGTTGTTTTATGTGATGATTATTTACACAGATTGTTTGCTTTAGATAAACATAGCAACAGTACACAAGGCAAAAAGTACATCACCTGACCACACACATTGAGATAGGTGTGGTGGAAGCTTTAGAACTGGGGGTTACCTACCTCTGATCGAACAACAACATGTGTGTCGCCACACACATTTTTAACCTCTTTTAACCTATTGCCGTGACGTTTCAGAACTATTTGGGGAAGCCAAGTGCAAACTTATTTCTTCAATCGCAGCTAAGACACATACAACAGTCTTTCTTTTTGGGACATTAACTTTGAACACAATATCCATATAATACTTTGTCTATTTTATGCCACATTTTTGATCTTGTCAATTGCACATAATTGTAAGAGTAGAATTTGACCACTGTATACACTATTATTAAAGGGCACTATCTCACTAACTCTAGCCAATAAGCTACATGAACAAAAGCACATGAGTGCAGTCACTGGTCTCAAGAAATGACTTCATACACAGGGTCTTCTTCTGCACCTATATAGGAGAATGTGGAAAAGAAGAAAAATGGAACTTCATTCATCTCCTATGGTTTATATACCAGCTGGAAGAAGAGGTGATTCTCTGCAAGGGAAATTCACCAGTTCGTATCCATCTCCTTCCCCAGCTGCCTCATTGGTAGAGGTTGTAAAACGGACCCCTCCCCTCTCCCTCACCTTCCCATATGCCTCATTGGTTGAGGTTGGGATGCTGTTGACTGCAATTCCTCCTTTCCCCCTCACCTCCCCATAGGCCTCATTGGTTGAAGTGTGGATACTTGTGCCTCGATCTTTACTACCTGTTTAATAGGTAATGAAAGAACGCTCAGAATTGTTCCTGTGTTTTTGAGGGGGAAAATTGTGTGTAACCTTTGAGACAAAGCAGACAAATTACACTGAGAGATACTATAATTAGAGTTGCTACAACAACTCCAATTGTTATAGCCATAGTAGACAACCAGCCGCCATCACCAGTAGACCTGTCGAGATTACATACATAATTATATAGTTGCACTATTATTAACAACGGGAAGTATATATATGAACCCAAGATTAGAGGATGGTTCGAACAAGGTAGGATCAGCTGGAGTAGTTGGCTTGGAGAAGATTCTCATACTAGAGATAGATGGAGTTGGGGTTGGCCCAGAGAACATTCCTCCACTGCAGGAAGTAGAGATGGTTGAAGCTGGAGAGGTGTAGAGAGCAGTTGTGGTTGGAGATAAGTAACCGTAAGTTCCATCAGTTAAGGTAGAGTGAACTGTGGTTGATGTTGTTCCATGGTACTGCCCTGAAAAGGCTGTGGATACATTGATTTCACTGTACATAATGATAGAGCTGGTAGAAATGACAGAGTTTCCAGCCGCATTGGAAGAAGAGAAGGTTGAGGAAATGCTAGTCTCTGAAAATTGTTGCATTGTAAGTTTTGGGCAAAAACACATTGTACCACATACCGTTAATGAGTCTGACATTAACTGTTTTCTTTTTCTTTGTGTGGTCCTGGATCACACACCTGTATATCCCCTCAAGTGGAGTACCAGCAGTTGATCTCTTCAGTCTCACCACATGAGGACCTCTGTTTCTCACAAACCCCAGGTCACCAGGCCTATTGTCACCTCTCACTCTCTTCCCATTTGGAGCATACCAATCTCCATCAGAATTGGGATTACCGTGAGGAGGAGGGTAGTTCGTGTGGCAGACAAGAGCAGTGTCATCAGTGTGGCCAATGTCATCCAGTATCACATAGTTATTGTTGGTAATTATTTTTTGTCTAAAACTTAGATGTACACCTGAGAATAAACCCCAGTTCATATATATATTTTTTATATAAAAAGATAAAAACTTACTTTTTTCGGAAGTCTTTGTGATTGTGGCATTACTGAGCACTCCAGTTCCAGCACTGTTGACTGCTGCAACTTGAATTGAGTAGATAGTAGACAGCGTCAGGTTAGAGATGGTAGCCTCAGTTACACTGGCTCCAGTAATATTCAGCACAGTCGTGTGTGTCATGTTGGTCCCCGTCTCTCCATATCTCACTGAGTAGCCAGTAATATCTCCATTCATATATTCACAAGGCACCATCTCCCAATGGATAGTGATGGAGTAGGAAGTCGCAAAAGTCTGAGTCACATTTGGAGCAGCAGATGGAGCTGTAAAAAAGAAACACACACTTTTGACGATTATAGAATGATTGGCAATGTAATTCTGAATAACCTCTCAATGTTGTCACAGCAGATACTGAGTTACTCAGTCCCCCTGCAGTTACAATAATGTTGTACCTACTGCCCTCCTCTAGTCCTGTTATGATGTAACTTGTATCATTGGTGGTAATAGAGCCATTGTTCTCTTGATTTTCAGCTAAACAACCTGTCTTCTCCCATTCAACTGTATAATTGATACAATCTGTGGCATTCCAAGTAATTTTAAGAGAGTTGAAAGATTTTCCCACGAGAAATATTATTGGCTGGCCAGGAACTGGGAATAAACACAAAAGAATCACCAACAGATCTTTGTAAAGTTGCATGCAGCCTCACAATCACTAGATGCTGATCCGTTTGATGGTTTGTTGTTAGCCACAGTACATGTGTACCTTCCTTCCATTCTCCCAGTCACATTCAGAGTATGGATATATTCTGCTGTGGTTGCATTGACTAAAACAGTCGCATTTCCTTCAGTAACAGTGAATGTAGAGTCTCTGGTCCAAGTGACGGTGGTAGCAGGTCCACCAGTGGAGATACAGGTGAGGGTAAACTGAGGACTGAACTCATCAAAGTCCACAGTCAGTGTAACACCACCAAATATGGACACATCTCCTGTATAATAGATGAGAACATGTGCTTTAGTACCACCTATAATTTTGCTTAACACAGACCTCCTCTGCCGTACAATCCAACATACACCCTGCTTCGAGTCAATTGAGTCGTTGTGTTATCATGAACCTCAACAGTTGCAATGTCACAATGATACATGCCAGATGGTGCGGTTGAATTTGTACGACGTAGTTCAACTCTCCGATAGTCACGATGCTGGTAAATATCATTGGCTCCATCAAATGGCAGTTGGTGTCCATTAGGGAAGTACCAGTCACCACGATGGATACCCTGCTCATTTCTGCAGCATGTTTTCAGGTCAGTGCGACACTGAACACTATTATCTCCAAATAGCCAATATCCTATTAGGCTAAAGTTCACATAGGAGTGGTTGGCCAGAGGCCGGCCCATGAAGAAGACATAAGGAAACGTCTGAGAGTGGACCTCCACCAGTGACCAGAGGAGACTGAGGGAAAAGACCACCGCCAACATCGTAACTTATTCTGTGATTGAGTTTGTGGCTTGTGCTCTTTTTATGAGCTATAGAGGTTTGTTTGTTTTATTACCATACCAACACTGTGGTTATTGGCTAATGCTACACAAGGCAAAAGTAATCACAACATCTGAAACATTGAGGTGGGGTTAAAGCTCTGGCTTGGTTTGTATAATTGTGTATGATGGTTGTCCAAGTCAAATTGTGCATGCACACTCGTGTATAATAATGCTTCACTCATGAGCAATAATTGTTGCTGTGCAGCTTGCTACGCTTTTGGTTATAATTCAGTCACCTTATGTTAGCCTAACATGAACGAAAATACATGAAGCAAAATCTACAAAAAGTAGTTTGTGCCTCTTTACTTACAAGGGTGATAGCAACATTTTTTAAATGAGGGGCAACAGTAATCTATCTCTACCAATCATCACCATAAGGGGTATTTACACATTGAAATGCAAGTTGCCAAATACTTTGTGTCATCATAAATGACTCTTAGAAAATCAGTTAAGTAATGATATTGAACAAGTAACCACCACATGAAACATCATTACACACTCTGTGTTTTACGTTTAGCTCACTACATCGTGTTGTTGTTTTATGCAATGATTTTACCTATAATATACACAAATTGTTTTAGATAAACATAGCAACAGTACACAAGGCAAAAAATAAATCCACCTGACCACACACATTGAGATAGGTGTGGTGGAAGCTTTAGAACTGGGGGTTACCTACCACTGAAGAAACTACAACATGTGTGTCGCCACACAATTTTTAACATCTTTTAACCTATTGCCGTGACGTTTCAGAACTATTTGGGGAAGCCAAGTGCAAACTTATTTCTTCAATCACAGCTAAGACACATACAACGGTCTTTCTTTTTGGGACATTAACTTTGAACACAATATCCATATAATACTTTGTCTATTTTATGCCACATTTTTGATCTGTCAATTGCACATAATTGTAAGAGTAGAATTTGACCACTGTATACACTATTATTAAAGGGCACTATCACAAACTCTAGCCATAAGCTACATGCACAAAAGCACATGAGTGCAGTCACTGGTCTCAAGAAATGACTTCATACACAGGGTCTTCTTCTGCACCTATATAGGAGAATGTGGAAAAGAAGAAAAATGGAACTTCATTCATCTCCTATGGTTTATATACCAGCTGGAAGAAGAGGTGATTCTCTGCAAGGGAAATTCACCAGTTCGTATCCTTCCCCTTCCCCAGCTGCCTCATTGGTAGAGGTTGTAAAACGGACCCCTCCCCTCTCCCTCACCTTCCATATGCCTCATTGGTTGAGGTTGGGATGCTGTTGACTGCAATTCCTCCTTTCCCCCTCACCTCCCCATAGGCCTCATTGGTTGAAGTGTGGATGCTTGTGCCTCGATCTTTACTACCTGTTTAATAGGTAATGAAAGAACGTCAGAATTGTTCCTGTGTTTTGAGGGGAAAATTGTGTGTAACCTTTGAGACAAAGCAGACAAATTACACTGAGAGATACTATAATTAGAGTTGCTACAACAACTCCAATTGTTATAGCCATAGTAGACAACCAGCCGCCATCACCAGTAGACCTGTCGAGAGTACATACATAATTATAGTTGCACTATTATTAACAACGGGAAGTATATATATGAACCCAAGATTAGAGGATGGTTTATCCACACCGAACAAGGTAGGATCAGCTGGAGTAAGAGTTGGCTTGGAGAAGATTCTCATACTAGAGATGGATGGAGTTGGGGTTGGCCCGGAGAACATTCGCCCACTGCTGGAAGTAGAGATGGTTGAAGCTGGAGAGGTGTAGAGAGCAGTTGTGGTTGGAGTTAAGTAACCGTAAGTTCCCATCAGTTAAGGTAGAGTTAGCTGTGGTTGATGTTGTTCCATGACTCTGCCCTGAAAAGGCAGTGGATACATTGATTTCACTGTACATAATGATAGAGCTGGTAGAAATGACAGAGTTTCCAGCCGCATTGGAAGAAGAGAAGGTTGAGGAAGTGCTGGTCTCTGAAAATTGTTGCATTGTAAGTTTTGGGCCAAAAACACATTGTAGCACATACCGTTCATGAGTCTGACATAAACTGTTTGATTTTTCTTTGTGTGGTCCTGGATCACACACCTGTATATCCCCTCAAGTGGAGTACCAGCAGTTGATCTCTTCAGTCTCACCACATGAGGACCTCTGTTTCTCACAAACCCTAGGTCACCAGGCCTCATTGTCACCTCCCACTCTCTTCCCATTTGGAGCATACCAATCTCCATCAGAATTGGCATTACCGTGAGGAGGAGGGTAGTTCGTGTGGCAGACTAGAGCAGTGTCATCAGTGTGGCCAATGTCATCCAGTATCACATAGCTATTGTTGGCAATTACTTTTTGTCTAAAACTTAGATGTACACCTGAAAGTATACGTCAGTTCATATATATTTTTATATAAAGAGATAAAAACTTACTTTTTTCGAAAGTCTTTACGAGAGTGGCATTACTGAGCACTCCAGTACCAGCACTGTTGACTGCTGCAACTTGAATTGAGTAGGTAGTAGACAGCGTCAGGTTAGAGATGGTAGCCTCAGTTACACTGGCTCCAGTAATATTCAGCACAGTCGTGTGTGTCATGTTGGTCCCCATCTCTCCATATCTCACTGAGTAGCCAGTAATATCTCCATTCCGATGTTCACAAGGCACCAACTCCCAATTGATAGTGATGGAGTAGGAAGTGGCAAAAGTCATTGTCACATTTGGAGCTGCAGATGGAGCTGCAGAAATAAACACACACCTTGGTAATAGCATATTGACATTATAATCAAATCTAATTAACCTTTCAATGTTGTCACAGCAGATACTG